CCTCGCCTCTGTCAGTGCGCCCCAGGGCAGCTGTGGCTACAATGTAGCTTGCCATTGCCAGTGTGTGAATGACTGAATGTACATGTACATGAATGTAGCGCTTTGGGGTCCTTAGTGACTGAGTAAGTAGCGCTATACAAATGCAGGCCATTTACCATCAATCAGACTGAGGATATAACAGGTTTTTATAAACATGTAAACAGTTGCTTTATTTTGCCTTTGGGGGCAAAGTCTCTGTTGCTGTAGGTCCCTGCAGGTGATGGAAGAAGTGTGAGAACAGAACATCTAAAAAAACAAAAAAACAAAACTAAAAACCATCATTGACAACCGGTCACTGCCAACCCACATAAAACACACTCTCACACACATATACTGTGGTGCTGCTGGCAGGCAGTGGGGAGAGGCGGAGATGCTGGTGCTACTCCAGGTCATGTACACCGACCTGGACTTCCTGACGGAATTCCACATGGAGCTGCAGAATTTCCTGTTTGAGAAGTACTGTCTCTGTGTCACCCAGATGGCTGGAAAACCAGGAGGGAAACACCTTCACCTCAGAAACATAAACATCAATTAAATTCAGGAGAAGTTGGTGTTTTTATATAAAAACTGCTGTTGGTGGGTCTGTGGACTCTAAAAACAAACACATAAAAAAGACTGAAATGGAAATAATATTGCAGTTACACTTTTAAAGTGTAGTAAGCTTTGTGTCGGGCTATTACTGACAAACACAGCTGATGTCCACATCATGGACCACATACAGGAAATTCAAAGGAAGTCTACACGGTCAGGTTTATAAACATGGTGGTCTTAACATCGGGATGTGTCTCCCTGTGGTTAATGTGGATTTATCTCAAATACAACGCTCAGACCATTTTGAGTCTGGAGAATCACCGCTGTGCTGTAACCTCTGTCCGCGGTACAACAAAAACACGAGTTCAGCTGTTCATAGCTACAGAGAAAAGACGTTTTAACTGTGAATAGTAATGACACAAGGTAAAAGCAGCAGCTTTAAGTTTGGCTCTAATAAACTGCACCATGTTAATCTTACTGCTTTGATGCAGAAGCAGTTTTGTGCAGATCAAAAAGTTGGTATTGAAACACCGAATGAAACTGTTAATATGTAAAGATATTAATGTGCTCAGACAGTTCTGTTTTCATAAGAGATAATTAGAGATAATAAAAGCAAGATCCAAATGAAAAAAACAAACAGAAAAACTCTAACACAGTGCAGAGGAAGAGTTTTTATTACAGTTTTGGAGATGGAGAGAGCAACCAAAGAGGAGGAAGTGTCCAGTCCACAAATTGTTGACACAGACTCTTTCTTGAAAGATTACTGGCTGTATTACATCAGAAATCTTAATAAATACAAATGTGTGGTGTTAATCTTACAGTTTTTATGGTGTTGTTTGGATTCAGGCTGATTTTAATGTTTGCTGATCTTTAAGAAAGGAGTTAATGCTTCTCACTTCAGAGCAGACTGTCTGTTTTGATCTATTGTATCTATTTTGTAAGGTCACAGAGGGGCTGGAGCGTATCCCACGGCGACAGGTGAAGTCAGAGAAATAACCACACTTAAATTAGGTGAAGCTAATGTGGACGTGTTTGGACTGTGGCAGGAAACAGACAGGCCTGTCAGGTCTGAACGACCAGCGCCATCTGGTGGACTAATCCAGTTCATTTAAACAGATGGATGCTTTACTGATCCCACTGATGTGAAACAGTGAGTAAATATTTTTAATATTTTTTTAAAACATGGATCCAGTTTTGATTAAATTACTGTTGATTCTGTGTGATTAGAGTTTTTAAAAGCTTCTAAGTAAAAAATAAATTAAAAAAAGGGAAGGAGGACTCAGAGTCGAGTTTATTCTGAGGTTAAGTTCAAAGTTTTCATTTGTTCTTCAGTCCCTTTATTTCCAAAGCCCACAAACAAAAGTGCAGATGTGTGATTTCTACCTCATAACCACCCACCATTCAAATAAAACGTGGAGTTGATGTTATCCTGTCTGAAACGCACTAACTTAGCAAACACTAAACGTTGAGTATTTACAGCACAGAGAGCTTTCCGGTACATTCTGTTGGCATTTCTCAAAGAAAACACTAAACGAACGAGTTTCCCTCAAAGGTTCTCGTCTGTGTGGAGTGTCAGAAGCACCCGTGTCTTTCCACACCAACACAAACACAACGAGCACTGAGCGCGCTCAGATCAGCTTAAAAATGACCTTCGTGGACACATTATCACATCCTCACATGGTAACAGTTAGTTAATGTCAGTTTACATAACGGGATCTCACAGTACCTTAAAGTGTTAAAGCAGCATCAGACTGGTGGATATGAAACCACTGCTTTAAAGGCTCACACACGCAGACGCACACCGTTTCTCTGACTTAGCTTCTCTTAGATGATTCACTAGAGTGAAAAGCAAAGCGTCGCTCACATGGCCTTTAATTATGAGTGACTTGGCAACATTTTCCCTTTGCTTTGTCTTTAAATCCAGTTTGTGATTAAAAGAAAGAGATCGATTAGCTTATTTGAACTGGAACTAGGGCCTGTGAGTATGTGTGGGAGCCTTTAGAGCAACTAAAGCAGGTTTCATATTGTTAAATAGGAACTTAGAGGAGGAAACGAAGCTCATTCCATCGCCTCCTCGTGCAGCTCTGGACCGCTTCCAGCACCACTGATATTTGGACACAGCTCTCTAAAAGTCCTTCAGTGACCATCTTCTCTTTAAACGAGTCAAAACAAACACCTTCAACACTGAATAAATAAATAAAACGTCAGATGTCTTCAAACCATCTCCTCAACAAGGAGAAGATCTTTTCAGCTGCTTTAGGGGTAAAATCTGCTGCAGCCGCCGTCTCTCCTGCAGATTACAGCTTTGATCATTAATATCAAATATAAATGTAGTACCAAAGAAATAATGTGGATTAAATGACTCAGCAGCAACTTCCCCTCCTGCAGTGCAGGAAAGAAACACTCTGAGCTGCCTGCTCTGGGAGCTGTTCTAATGGACGCTGTTTGCTTTTTAAGTTTTCTGGTTTGGTGTTAAATTAGATGTTAAATCTTTGTGCAATCAGGTCAAACATAACAACCACAGAGCATTTTAACTCCTTACCCACTGAAATTCAACCAGGAAGAAGCCTTAAAGCTCTTCTCTGATCTGATAAACTTGTGAAAACCCCAAAACTATTCCAAAAGTCATCAAACTACAACTTTATGGATATGTACCGAGGTCAAAGCTGGTCATTCAGGGTCCAGGGGAGGTCGTCTCTATGAGGAAGACAACTGAGATGACTGGAAGCGGTTCAGAGGTGCACACCCATCCTCTAAGATCAGGGTTGCTTTTTGATTTTTATGGGTGGAGTTTAGTTGGAGAGCTTTGTGATTTCCTCTCTGTGCAAAGAATCTGATTGGCTGGTAATTAGAAGAACAACCAATGCTACAGTAAAACAAACAAACAAACAAACAAGGTTTAGTGTTTGAGGGAGCTGGCATGTCCACCAGACGCATGAACACAGGCAGCAGTAATATATAAATATGGCAGCAACATGTACAACAAAACAAGACAAAGTGCAACAAAGTCCTCAACTTCAAATAAAATCAGCTCCAGATGTGTGTGACCCTCACAGCTGGTCCCATTTCACCTCCAGATTTAAAGATACACATGATCATTTTCCAGTTATGAATGAATATCATCTCATTCGGAAGTGTGTGTGTTTCATAGATACTTGTAGTGCATTTTCTTAACCGATAAAGTTGAATTTGGATTCAAAGAAGAGCTAAAGTTTCTAAATATGTTGACGTTTCGGGCCTGAAGATCACTCAACAGGTCTGGATCTGGAAATTTGGGGAATAGCACTTCACCAAATATGTTAAAACTTTATAAATCTTTATAAAGTCTGAGTGTTTTAGGGTTAAATATACACATCTAACACACAGAGTCGTTTGCGCTCCAAAAGAGAGGAAAGCTAGGCAGAATAAAGACACCCTTCTGAATGAGATCATCTCTAAAACCTACACCATAAATCAATAAAAACAATCATCACGGAGCCTCAGAGGTCCAAATTTCATTTAAATATAATCAGAGATGATCGTTAACCCTGCGATTCACTCCACACACACACACACACTGCCCTGAAGTTGCAGTTTCCCTTCATCTGAATCTCTAAACTGAACAAGCAGCAGCAAATGAACAACGTTAAGGTGGATTCACTATGTTTTAAAGGAGTTCCTGCCACTTGGGGGGGTATCGAGGGAGGTGGGAGGGGCTTTTCACAGGTAGCAGAGCAGCGTGGCGTCATCTTTCCAGTTTGACATATTTACACCATCAGGGCAGTAAACCCGCCTCTCACGCTAGTTGAACATGATGGACTCTGGATCCTGGTTCATCATCTGGGCCATGTGACGCAAAACGTCCTTCTTGGTGATGATGCCCAGGAGACGCCTGCAGAGGAGGGATGCAAACAAAGGTCAGAGGTCGTTGCCCATGTGATGAGTAAAGGAAGAATGTGCAGATTAGAGGAGACAAACTAAAACTGCAACCAGATCAGCTTTACAGCCACTCTGATCACACAGATCAATCAACTACAGGAGAAAGTTGAGTCTAAGACCCAGCTTCCTTTGCTGTTGCTGTTCCTGGCAGAAACAGCAGAGCATGGACACTGCGGGCTGGATCACAAAGTGTCCTGACCTCTAAACACCAGCTGGCCTCTCATATAAGTGAGTAAACACTAGGGATGGGTATCGAAAACCCGTTCTTGTTGAGAACCGGTTCCCACTGTTTCAATTCCTTGGAATTGTTTGCCATTTTTGCAAAC